TGTGCGCTGGCCCTGCCCCACTGGTCCCCTCTGTGTGCTGGCTCCATAGCTCCCATTGGTCGGGAACTGCGGCCAATGGGAGCTGTGGGGTCAGCGCCTGCGGGCGGAGGCAGCACGCAGAGCTGCCTAGCCACCCCTGTGCCTAGGAGCAGCAGGGACAGGTCGCCGCTTGCGGAGAGCCATCCAAGATAAGGGCCGCCTGAATGCAGCACCCCACCCCCTCTCCCGTGCCCCAACCCTGCACCCCCTCTCGCACCCAAACGCTCTCCCTCGTAGTTATTTGGAATTTTTCGGCACCCCTCATTTCCCCCAAAATGCTGGATGCAGAGATGATGTCTGGTACTAGAAGACTCTTTAATCAAGCCGACAAAACCATAGCCAAGTCCAATGGCAGGAAGTTGAATCTAGACAAAGCTAGACTAGAAATTAAGCACTTTTTTTTAATAGTGAGGGAATCATTGGAACAGCTTTTACAGAGAATCCACCCCATCACTGTCTCTTGATGCATTTAAATCAAGATTGAATATGTTTCTAAAATATGTGCGCTAGCTCAGACAGAAGTTATGGGCTTCATGCATGAATTGCTGGGCAAAATTCTATGGCCTGTGTTATGCTGGATTAGACTAGATGTTCCTAATGATCATTCTGGCCTTAAAATCTATGAGAATTTTGACTACTAGACCTCAAGGAAGATTTGGGATCCCAGTAGAGATGCCTGTAAGAAGGAAACTTTGGGTAAGGGGCTGTTTGCTTTATTTGAACTTTGCTCAAAGACTTTTTAACTTGCCACTTGATCTCTGGGGAGAAAGGCACGTCATACCCCCATGAGTTGTCATATTATTTGTTTTGAAGAGCTCCATGTGACCTGCTACACTCCCTTCTGAAAATATCACAATCTGTCAATTGTTAATAAGACGGAAGGTACCAACTGGAAGCTCAGAAATGCCTATTTTTAAAAAGTGAAGTACACTTGAAAATATAGTTTATTCATAGTGGGAAACTTTTTACCTTTCAGATTCCTGGTCTGAGGAAAAATGGATGGATTTTTTCTTTTATGTCCCATTAGTCTTGCCAACTCATGCGACTCTCAAAAAATCCTGGTATTTGGTGGGTTTTTGGTTTTTTTTTTCCTTAAATTCCTGCTCTTGGAGTTGGATGATTGGGAGAATCTTGCCTTTAGTTTAATAAAAAATAAGTTTCTGGCCCTTATGGTTGTGAAGAAAAGATTGGAAAATATTGAACTCTAGACACTAAAAATCATAAGGCAAATAAAAAGAACCCATCTTTTTTTAAATGTCATTATTTTTAAACGAATATAATGATTTTTTGTGCCTGACTTACGCTTTCTGAAATGCTTGGGGTTAGCAATACTGGGCTTTTTGTCAGAGAAGGAAAACTTCTTTTAAAGCAACCTAAAAATAACCTTTTGTTTTAAAGCCTTTGAGACTTTTCTTTGGAAATAAGAGTAGAAATCTGAGGGGTTTTTTTCAATTAAAAAAAAAAATACAGATACCAATACAAGCAGGGAAAAATAAGAGAACATGAAAATGTGACTGGATATTTACCCCTGTAGCTTAGAAAAATCTGAAAAGTCTACTGTGGTTCTACCTGGCTCCGGTAGTGGTTGACAAACTGGTAGCTGTGATGATGGTTGTTGATAGTGTTTCTTAAAAGGCTAGCTCTGAAGACAAAGGGCAGCTATATTCTTTCTGATCAGAACCTTATATAATAATGAAAGTATGGGCTAGTAATTGCCAAAGGTAAGTATTGTTTTAGAAACAAATTAAAAGTATATTTATTTTGGGGGGTTGTCTGCTAGGAGCTCCCAGGGGCTGCTGTTCCAAAGCAAGAATAAACCTCGCCTCATGTTATGTCAACTGTCAAAGATCCCTCTAGGGTGCGCTCACAGCCACAAATGTATATGGCATGGGAAGCCTTTCTGGGGCTCTCTGCAGCTGGAAGCAGTTTAAGGCTTCCACCTCCCTTAATCCTACATTTATATATGGGACAGGCATGACAGGAGCCAATGACTCCCTCCCCACCCCCACTACTAAGATACTAGCAGAGAAGATGGCAACATAGCAGTGTTCTCAGGGGGAGATATAGGCAGGAACCCTTTCACCCCCATCTACCTGTCTGGGAGGCATTGAACATTAAGAACCTCGTTCTCCATAATATTTCATGAGGAAGCCTTAGATGCTCCATCTTGAGTGTCTCAGAAGATGTCTTCTTCCTGCTTTGGGGAATGGATCTCCTAGAGGTCTCTATAGTGCTAATTTAAAAAAAAAATCATTATTATATGTTAATATTGTATATTGATATTGTATAAACTAGAATAAATAGACTTTAACTGTAGGCAATTATTGGTCCTGGGCCTCACTGTTTGTTCTTTGTAGTCAAGGTCCAGTATAGAGCAGCATTCAGTGAAAAACTCAGCTTGGCTGTAATTAGAAGACCTTGAAACTGACACTGTGGATTTGCAGTGGAAATTCCTCACTCAAAGAGTTAAGATACTTCATTTTAGTCAGACTTTTTATAAAAAGAGAGGATATTTTTTCAGTGTCTTGGATATTTTGTAGATTAGTTACTGTAAATAGGAATTGGATAATTCCACAGTCTGTAGCCAATAACAAGATGTATCCTGCCTGCTAATAACTGATGTAAGAAATTAGGAAGAAAGTGCTGAGCGGCTCTGTTGCCATTCTACAGTGTTAGTGGATTTTTCAGATTAGTGACATTTTTACTGTATTGAACACTTTTCCAGATAGGAAAATCATTAGTATGATACTTCATGTGGAACACACTCACTTTTAATACTGTTGCTGTAAGTGTGTTTTTAATAGTGTAGTGGCAGGAAGCCTAAAGCTTTAGCAAAGCCCTTATATACTTTTATTTCCTGGAGTCACATTCCCACTAGCTGCTATGTTTTCAGCCAGAAGGATGGGTCAGGAAGGAAAGGGGCAGGCCTATGTGGGTCCTCCAAAGTTGTTGTTTACAATGCTTTATGAATTAGTCTTCAGGGTTTGTTTTTAAAAGAAATCAAGTTAGCAATTTACAAAATGACTATCTGTAAGAAAGGAGGGTAGTGTATGTGAAGAGTTCTACAAAAAGCCATGTGGAGAAAACAGTAAAATAGAACAAGTAATTGAAGAATAAAATACTAATATGGTATGCCAAAGCTTGCCAGTCAATGAATGTTGCTAACTATAACCATTACCTGATTGAGTTTTGAATTTTCTAGACAGATTAAAGTATTATGCCAGCATATACTGAGAAAAACATCAGTTTAGTTTAAAAAAAAGTTAAGAATCATCATCAGTCTGAGACCATTAGAGAACCAAGAACCAGCCTTGTGCACAGTTTGTTTTTCTAACCATGAAGAGCACTGATTGGAAAGCAAAACCTGCATTCTGTGATATGTTCCACTCATATTAATACCAGTCTAGAGAGTTAATAATACTGACTATTATAAGTTGATGCTAACTTGTTAGAATAAGTATGTTTGGGAGTCAAGATGCTTCAGTTTTGATATTATGAAGTTGGGAAATTTAAGACTGAATATTGTAGTTTTTAAAACATTTTGGAAGACTCTCTTAATTGTGTTGGAGCTGTAGGGTATTTTTCTATTATTGCATGCATCAATACAGAGGCAATTTTTTGATGTCGGGGGAAAAAATCAACAGCTCATTCTACTCAAAATATCTAATTTTCCATTATTTGAAATGAATGTGAATATTTAGGGCACATAGTGAGCAGTGTGAATATAGGGATGATGCAATTTATTTTTAAGGAGAATCCCACATATATTGCTAGTCTTGTGACAAAATACTGCACTGTGCACCATCCAGATAATTTCTGTTCTGGGGGAGTATGAGATACTGCCTAAATGATTAGGCACACCAAATTTCTTTTGAGTTGCAGCACCTCTGCACTGAATATTTTTACTGTTATAATGCATGGAACTCTTTATATTAATAAGTGGCTCATTCAGATTAACTGCCTAGTAGTTTGTGTGTAAAACAGTTCAAGGTAGAATATGATGTATTCTTGAATAGCATAGTAACTTTCAAGTTGAGCTGTCTGTGATGAAACTGTGGCAAATACGATAAACCGTGTTCTTCAGCTGGCACAAATTGTTGACTCCCTTGGGAACAAAAGAAAACCTAGAATTAGGTAGGCTCCTTTCTAGGTCAGGAATCTGTGCAAACTGCTAGGAAAGTGAGACAAACAGGCTTTTATTCCCCTTGAAATATTGCTCAAGATCTACCAAAAGGTGGTAAGTGACAAAATATTTATTAATGAGCCCATGCTGATGTTTTGTAGTGAGACTATCAATATGAAGATGAAAAGCAAATATGGGATTTACATATTGGAGTTAACAAGAGAGGAGACTGATCAAACAGTATTTCGTTCTTACTGTGGTGAAAGGTTTATGGGAAAAGAACCCTTTGGGGTAGAATGGTTATTAACTGAACCCATGAATCTAGTAGTCAAAATAAAATTCATCTAGTGAGCTTAAGAGAAAATAACCCAATATGCAAAAGAAAGATTATGTGGATGACAAAACTCTCATAAATACTAGATATTCATAAAATATTTCTCTGCACAAATTGTTTCAAAATTTAAGGAATTAGTGCAATTTATTTTAAATGTTGAGCTTGTTGGTTCAAAGAATCCTAAGGAATCATCTCTTCTTCCATCAGTGTATTAGGATTTGTTTGGATAAATCATTACCTTTACCATTCCATCAGTATTATGTCTAAATTCTCTACACTTTGAGACAGTAGACTCTTGAAAATGTATTGCAGCCAATCCTACCTTTGCATGCTATGATATGGTAAAGAATCTTTTTTTTAAAGTAACTTAAATCTGCAGTGTTCTAAATAATTAAAACAGTACATGGCAAAACATGCTGTGAAAGGTTCTCTTTGCTGTAATTGAAATATCCTTTGAGTTTTTAAAAGGCATTAAAAATAAAATGCAATTATAACTTTTTGTAGGTTGGGCTCATGTGGTTTGTGCCCTGTACATTCCCGAGGTGCAGTTTGCAAATGTTTCTACAATGGAACCTATCGTGTTGCAGTCTGTTCCTCATGATCGTTATAATAAGGTATAATTATGTATGTGTTTATGGCTTATGTCTCTGTATGTGACTTCATTATTTTAAAAAAACTGTGATCTTTAGTTTTAAGCTTGTTAAAATATAATTTTAAAGTCAAGCATATAACTGGTACTTTGCATTTTTTTTAAAGTATAATTTAACTTGAATGTATTGCATTAAACTTTTTACAATATGCTTATTTTTCATACATAAAACAAAGCATTAGAGCATAAACATTTTCTGCTATGTAATTTTTATACAAAATTCCAAGAATTAATAAAGCATGATTAATAAAATGTTCTTCATTGCAGTATACCACAATGTCTTATTGAAATACTTATAACTTACATGGTGTGAATTATCTACTTAGGTATCTCCTTTATTCCAAAATATTCTATTGTTTTAAAAATATTGTAATTTTTTTATTGTTTTCAAAATAGATCCCTGGGGTAATAAATACTTTGTTAAATTTTAGCTTCAATCTTTTTAGTAACTATTTCTATTAACACTTCTTTAGATGTTGATATGACTATTCATAAACAAGAGTATTTTTTTTGTATGTTAAGAACATAAAGGTTATATTAATCTATTACTGCTAGATCCAGCAAACCATTATTGACCTAAGTAATACCATTAATTTCAGTGGAATCATTTGTATGTATAAGGACTACTCATGTAAGTAAGGGTTTATAGGATTGAGCTGTTTTTCTTTTCTAGTCTCACAACACTTAATTTTTTACTCAATGTGTTCATTTGTGAATTTCTCTCATTTTCTACTTGTATCTGTCTATTAAGTTCCTACCTCTTTGTAGTTCTTATAGTTTTTCTTTATGTGCAACTGATGAGCTTTTTTTATTATCCATGTATTTGCAAGCATCCCTTTTCTATTTTTTATAGGGCTGTCAAATGATTAAAAAATTAATTGCAAAATTAAAAAAAATTGTGATTAATTACAGTTTTAATCTCACTATTAAACAATAATAGAATGGAAGCATGTCCTCTGGAATGGTGGAAGCATGAAGGGGCACACGAATGTTTAACGTATCTGGCACACAAATACCTTGCAACACCAGCTACAACAGTGCCATGTAAATATCTGTTCTCACTTTCAGCTGGCGTAAATAAAAAGCAGGCAGCAGTAACTCCCATAAATGCAAACAAACTTGTTTGTCTTAACAATTGGCTGAAAAAGGACTGAGTGGACTAATAGGCTCTAAAGTTTTACATTGTTTTGTTTTTGAGTGCAATTATGTAACAAAAAATCTACATTTGTAAGTTGTACTTTCATGATAGAGATTGCACTACAGCAGTGGTTCTCAAACTTTCTAGACTACTGTACCCCTTTCAGGAGTCTATTTGTCTTGCGTACCCTAAGTTTCACCTCACTTAAAAACTACTTGCTTACAAAATCAGACCTAAAAATACAAAATTGTTACAGCAAACTATTAGTGAAATATTGCTTATGTTCTCATTTTGTCTGTGTGAAATTGTAGTTTGTACTGACTTTGCTAGTGGTTTTTATGTAGCCTGTTGTAAAACTAGGCAAATATCTAGATGAGTTGATGTACCTCCTGGAAGACCTCTGCGTACCCCGGGGTACATGTCCTGCTGGTTGAGAACCACTACACTACAGTACATGTATGAGGTGAATTGAAAAATACTATTTATTTTGTTTATCTTGATTATAGTACAAATATTTGTAATACAAATAATAATATAAAGTGAGCATTGTACATTTCGTATTGTGTTGCAATTGAAATCACTATATTTGAAAATGTAGAAAACATCCAAAATATTTAAATAAATGGTTTTCTATTAACGATGCGATTAAAACTGCGATGAATCACGATTAATTTTTTTAATCGAGTTAATTTGTTTTGAATTAATCGCTTGAGTTTACTGCAATTAATTGACAGTCCTAATTTTTTATCTTCATTTTTGTTTTTTACTTTCTATTATGGCTGTTGTAAGGGTCACAGCAGAATTTTCAGGGCCTGGAACAAGAAGAATAGGATTCCCTAGTAATGAAAATCTTGCACCATTTCTGGTGGTCTTCCTTTAGAGAATTGACTCTCACTTACCTTGTCTTTCCCCACCTCCACATTGTATTTCCCTTTTTGTGTTTCATATCTTTGCCGTTATTTTTTCTTTCACTCCTTCATATTTTCTGATCACACTCCTTTGGCTTTTCCCTGCTTTTTTCACATTCCCCTAATATCTACTACCTGATATTTTTGCTGCTTTCACTTACCAGGGTTTCAGAATGGCCCAGGGACACTTAGGGCTTGTCTACACTTAAAACAGTACAGCTGTAGTGCTTCAGTATAAACTTTTCCTATGCTGATGGGAGGGATTCTCCCATTGGTGTAGATAATCCACCTTCCTGAGAGGTGGTAGCTAGGTTGTCAGAAGAATTCTTCCATCGACACAAGGATTTAGGTTGGCTTAACTATGTTGCTCGGCGGGGGAGGGGTGGTTTTTTTTTCTTCTTCCTGATGGTCTCTCTTTGTTTGTGAAAAGTTTTTTCTTCTTTGGGTTTGTTTCAAAGTCATGTATGTGTGTGTGTGTCTGGCACCATTTCCATTTACATTGATAGAAATTGTGTGGATAAATCTCTTTGCGCTACTTTGAAAATTTACCCTTTAATCTCTCATTAATTTTCTCTGCCATTCTCTATCAGTTTTTGTTTATCATCTCCTTGCTGCTAGCAGTAAAATCTTTGCAAACTGCTTGCTCAAATCATTGTTCTTACAATCAATTGATATTGTTCCTCCACACTAATACCCCAGTTTACATTTGGTTGGTCTGTAGCTAACTGAAAGTCCTTCACCCACTTGTCAGGCATGAATGACATGGAAATCCCAGACAAAATACTCTCTCTCTTCTAGTTTTTAGTTTGGTGCTTTTGAGGGTGAGGTTCAAACACAGGCCTATTTTCATGTTTAGGAACCTATCTAAGACTAGTCTGCTTGTTCTATAATGTTTAAGATATGGTGGAACTTGTTTAATTGGAAATTTGGTTTGGACTTAATTTGCAGGTGCTCCCTCCCCCCCTTCCCCCCAAATCAATCATTTTGAGAACTTGTGACCTAACCTTTCTTGGTCTCTCAAATTATTCTCTCTTACTAGTTTGCAGTGTTGAATCTGTGCTGGTCCCAGGATATTAGAGAGACAAAGTGGGTGAAGTAATATATTTTATTGGACCAACTTCTGTTGGTGAAAGAGACAAGTTTTCAAGCTTACACAGTGATCTTCTTCAGGTCTAAGAGAGATTCTCAGTGTCACAGCTAAATAAATACATGGTGGAACAGATTGTTTAGCATAAGTATTTAACATATATTGTAAGAGACCATGCAAGGTGAAATGGCCAGTTAATATCTCTGGAGTCATAGGACAAAAAATGGGGATTAGTGGGTTACAGATTGAATTTATGGCTTTTTACAACAATGTCTTTATTAAGGCTGTCTACACTAGCACTTTTGTCAGTCACGGGTATGAAAAAAACACCCCTCTGACTGACATAAGTTTCACCAACAAAAGTGCAGGTGCGGACAGCGCTATGTCGTCGGGAGACGCTCTCCCGCCGACATAGCTACCGCCGCTCGTTGGGTGCTCTCGCCAGCATAGAGTGGCCACACAGGAGACCTTTCAGTGGCGCAGCTGCAATGGTACAGCTGTGCAGCTGTAAGGTCTCTAGTGTAGACATAGTCAAAGTCGGTGATTTTTAGTGTCTAGCAAAGTTATGAATTTCAGCTCCTAAAATTGTCTTTTGAAGGTACTGTGTAGGGTTCCTTTGAGGATGAGGATTGAGAAATAAGATATGGAGTGATTGCTTTATTATTTGCAGGGTCTGGTGCTGCTTTGGGTTGGTGTGTCCTAGTTGGTGCAAGCTCCCCAGAGAGCAGGGCACACCAACTCAAAGCGGCACCAGGCCCTGCCATAACAGACGCAAAACCTGCAGACATCTCTCCACTGCTACGATAATAAATACTTCTTACTTGCTTTTCGAGATCTGTGGGTACTGTGCATGCCTATCACAACATGTGGTGTACTTAGATGTCCCATAACAACTATGTGGGTGAAATGAGACAGTCACTCTGCCCTTAAATTAACTTGCACAGAAAAGTGATAAGACAAAAACACCACATCATGTGTGGGTAAATACTTTTCACAAAGTGATCACTGTACATCTGACCTCTGTCCTCATTCTCAAAGGAAACCTGCACAATATCTTCAGAAGACAAACTAGGAAGCTTAAATTCATATCTTTGCTAGACACGAAAAATTATGAATTTAATGAAGACACTGGGTTTATGGTTTAATACAACAATCTGTAACCCACTAAGTCCCCTTTTTTGTCTGACAAATACAGAGGTGTTAACTGGCCACTTCACCTTGAATGGTCTCTTACAATGTGTTAACTACTTATGCTAAACAATCTGTTCCACTTTATATTTAGCTATGACACTGTAAGTACCTTTCCCAGACGTGAAGAAGAAGCTCTGTGTAAGCTGGAAAGCTTTTGGCCTTGGCTACACTCAGGACTTCCGTGGCAGCGCTGTAAAGCGCGAGTGTAGTTACGCCGCCAGTGCTGCGAGAGCTCTCTCGCAGCGCAGTAAGTACTCCACCTCTCTGAGGGGAATAGTGTGCAGCGCTGCGAGCGAGCGTGCAGCGCTGCGAGCGAGCGTGCAGCGCTGCGAGCGAGCGTGCAGCGCTGCAGGCTCTGATTACACTCGTGCTTTACAACGCTGTACTCGCTGCGCTCGGGGGGGGGGGCGTTTTCACACCCCTGAGCGCAGCAAGTTGCAGCGCTGTAC